TTACCCTAGGGAATAATACCAAACAGAACTAGCTCTTAGAGAGATTTACATGACATTAATGAGGTCTTATTCTGTTCTTTAGTCCTCATTAAAGCTGCTTGATTAATGTGCAGAACATCTGGGAGAGCTTTTGTTTGTGCCATAAAATCACATGGAAACCATCAAATTAAGCAACGGTGGTTCGCTACCCGCTCTTGGTCTTGGGACATGGAAAAGCAAACCAGATAAGGTCACCTATGCCGTGGAAATGGCGATAAAAGCTGGATACAGACACATTGACTGCGCAGCGGTTTATGGTAATGAAAAAGAGGTCGGACAGGCTTTAAAGTCTTGTATCGGAAAAACGGTACGGAAATTTTATGGACTGATTCTCTGACCCTCAGTTAGTAAAGTCGAGCGAAAGAGCGGGCTGGGAAAGCGACAAACTTACAAAATATGGCCAAAAAAATGTTAAAAGTTTTTGCAGGGCTTTTATCCGGTCTAGATTTGCCTATTGTGTTTACATAGCGTCTTTCACTGCAAAAGGACGTGCTTGTGCCTACCAAGGAGCGAGAATATGCATACTGATGTTGAGTACGAAGGGTTAATTAAACCCTCAGCATTTCTTGTTGCTTCCCTGACTGCTCGCTGGTGCAGTCAGTTCTGAGTTCAGTAAAGTACAGTGAGCGATGAAATACTTGGCTTAGAACGAAACACAACAATGCAGCCAGATCTTGAAGCCAGACTTCTTCAGCTGAATTGGATCTCCTTCACAAAAGACAGGGATTCATTTCTTTCCTTGTTTTGTAGGTGAATAGGAAAGATTTGTTCATCACATCCAAGTTATGGAACACAAAGCACAACCCCACTGATGTGCATTCTGCTGCAGAGCAAACTCTTAGTGACTTAGGACTCAATTATCTTGACTTGTATCTCATACACTGGCCTGTATCCTTTAAGGATGGTGATGTCAGTTTTCCAAAGGATGATGATGGAAATATTATTTATGCATACCATGATCCATGTGATACTTGGAAAGCAATGGAAACACTTGTGGATGATGGTCTTGTCAAAGCAATTGGTAAAAACTACTTTCATGGGATTTCTAACAGATGTAATTATACAAATCTCTGAGATTTCAGAAATAAATTGGCTCTTATTGTTGAAGCCTTAATCTCGGTTTTTGTGAGGTGAATGGGTAAAGGTCAAAGGTCAAAGGTAAAATTCTGAAAATGGATCAAGTGGCTAAAGCTCGGTTCAGACGTCATACTTCAGCCATGCCAAACCTAATTGCAATTAGGAAATAATTTATTAATTTTGTTTGGCTTGGTAGAGGAATGATGTTTGAATTGCTGTTGTGTTAGAGTTGTGCAGCTCTTTCAGTCACTGAGCAAAGCCTCATGAACTTAATTCTTTACCTAACTAAATTAAAAAGTTTAACTCAAATTCTGTGCTTCAGCCTTCCTTTTCTTGAACTTAAGTACTGAATGAAGTGTGTCACAGCAGCTGCATGGTGTCTGAACGAGACCTCATTTTGCTAGCAGAGCCTGATTTCTATAACCTAAAGTTACCAGCACAACAAAGGTTTCACCTCACCCCACCCCCCTGCATTTGATCAGGTTTCCCTCATAGGTGGCAGAAGGTACCCATTTATGCTCCTGGGTGGAGAGAAGCACTGTATCACAAAGCTGCCAGTACATCACAGGGTTTACACCACCCTACTCCCCTGCATTTCATCAGGTTTCCCTGATAGGTGGCTGTAGGTACCCATTTATACTCCTGGGTGGAAAGAGGCACTGTTTCACAAAGCTACCAGCACATCACAGGGTTCACCCAACCCCCCCCCCCCTTCTATTTTGGATCTCTTGACCAATTGCCTAGATCACTAAGCATTAGGCCAATGTGTTTTCCTTGATTGAGCTTGAGTACCATGCAAGTTGTTTCCATCTTTATCAGTTTGCCAGTTTTTTTATTTATTATATTTTTTTTAGGTTTATCAAATTTCAACAGCAAACAAGTGGATGATATCCTATCTAAAAGCAGAATAAAACCTGCTGTTCTCCAGGTCGAATGTCATCCTTACTTCAATCAAGCTCAGCTCATAGAACATTACAGGAAAAGAGACATAGTTGGTGTGTTTAAACATTCAACCCTGAACAACTCTTCCTGAGGGAAACAGTTCATTTGTGTCTTTAGGCAGAGTATCTTAAACATTACAGGAAGCAATGAGAAAACAGATTAAAACTTCTTTATATATTATATGTGCGCATTAGAATGCAAAATACCAGAATGTTAAAAATGTCATGCCACCTGCTGTTGTGCTCTGTATGCATGTGACAACAGTTGTCGGTCAAGGTTTGTGGTTTACAGTGCACTGTTACCTCTGTTGTCTTAGAGTTTGCAAGATGTGTGATAGGAAACAAGTCTCATTGTTGGATGTTATATGACCCTTAAGTTGACCAACGAGAGCATGTGTTGCTAGCTATATAAGCTGTATAATTATTGCTTATAAACCACTACACTTCAATTGACTGTTTCTCTTTACTCATACTTTCTGTTTGTAGATTGGAATTAAGTTCAATCAATTTATACAATAATTTTGTCGTTAACACAGTGACAGCATACAGTCCGCTTGGATCCCCTGGCCGCCCACAGGCTAAACAAGAAGACTGGAGTCTACTGCATGACCCAAAGATAGAGGAAATTGCCAACGAATATGGAAAGTCTCCTGCTCAAGTCTGTATTCGCTTTCAGATACAGAGGGGTGTCTCTGTTATACCTAAAAGTGTCACACCTGCCCACATTCAAAGCAACTTTGAAGTAAGCTTTCAATATATCAAGATTATGTGGGATTGTTTACACAATCAATAGGCCACACTTTCTTTTGGTTCAGCAGTGTAAGAACTCAGGCAAGATCTTAAGACAATATGGGAAAAGTTTATAAATGCACACTTGCGGCTCATGATTTACAAACTTATTAAGTGTTATACCTGCACTGCAAGGGAGTTATTGCTCCTGCAGGAAAACTTTTTAGAAAGTGTGATCTGTTGCTTTCATGAAACAGCTTTATATGGGTTTATTGGGTGAAAGGGCAGTAGCTTATTGACCAATCAGAGTGTGCATGATAATTCACTTATTTTGAATTGTCAGCATAGACCAAGACCTGTATCAGTTTATTGTTTGTCTGCAGTCTCCACAGTGTCAATATCACAAATGACCCTGCAATAAGCATGCCGGTAATTACCAGTAAATAAGTGAATACATGCCAAAACTAATCTAAAGAATTATGAAATAAAAAAACATTTAATATATTAAAGTTCACATGGCAACCAGATGGACAATCAGACATGGTTTGATGCTACTCTGGTTTGCAGATTTAATGAGTGTAACTGAAGAAGTTAGTCTAGTGCCTTCATCAGGGGTGATCATCACCCCTGATGAAGGCACTAGACAGGAGTGTTGAAACGTTGGATCTATGAATTGCAACTTCTTTGGTTATATTCATTAAATCTGTAAAACCAGAGTAGCATCAAACCATGGCCAAAAAAACATGTATTAAGCAAAAGCAGAGGAAGAATGTTACACATTGTATTTGTCAGTCAAGCTATGTATTGCCACCCACACATGGTTCTTCTTCATGTTTTGGTTTGAATCAAGCTGATGGTTTTTATCTTTTCAAATTGGCTTGATACTCATTGAAACAAACAATATTTTAGCAATTATGAGCAAAAGGTAACAACATAACATTCCTTTAAACATATGCAGGTCTTTGATTTCATCCTCTCTGATGAAGACATGAGGCTCATTGAATCCATCAACAAATCTTGGAGAGCTCTTATTCCCATGAAAGAAGTAAGTGGTACTGTCCCCTCCTTCCCCACTCTGTCCTCGCTTTCCAACCCCTCCCTGCCACTTTTTCTCTGTTTTACTCAATCACCCACCACTCTCTGACCTTGCCTGTTCTTCATACAGAGACAGCAAAGCATTCTGAAACTTAATGGGTGGTTCATCCTGCACCATACCAAACCTTAGGCCATACTTTTACTCTGAAGCTTCCCTTAATGGCTGTGGCATGGTT